GATGAAGCCAAAATAAAGGATATTATTTAATTAGTTTTGAAATAAAGCTGTTTGCTTCTGCTTAAATAGGAGAAAAATGAGTGATTCAGATCAAGAGCTCAACTCACTCTTTGGAACACATTATGCTCTTTTTTTTTTTTTCTAAACAGGAAAGATTTAAACTCTATGTTCCCAAATAATATTATTGAATCAAATCCAATGAGATTTTTTTTTAAATAAAATAAAAAATAATTAGGAATTCCTTCTCTTCCAAAAAACATAGGAATTTTAAATCAATCACTCAACGAAGTCAAACAGCTTATGCCACTGTTATGGCAGTTGTAATCACGGAATTGCATTATGTTTAGCTGAGCCTCATTTTCTTCGTCCATGGACTTAAGGCCCTATGGAGGATGGGAGCTAGTTACCAAGCCACGTCCCCAACACCTGCACCGTCTTAGAATGCACAGATACTCAGGGAATGCTATGCTGGAAGCTTTTCATGCCATCCCATAGGGCTCTTACCTCATGCATGATGTTCCAGAGACAGAAAATAGACTTCCCCAAGGCATGTCCCGGCACCCTGACTTCTAGGAAACTCAAATCACTCAAGAGCAAAGAAGCTGGGTGATTATGTGGTGTTCCACTGGCAGCTCTAGCTCATACCATCACAGTCAATAGTCTTCTAGCTTTCATAATGTATGTTTCTCACAAGGGTATTGGGAAATACTTTGACACTTTTCAAATGGACTCCAGTTCATCTTTTATTTTCTGTCTTGTGCTGAAATAAGGAATAAGTCTAGATGCAGTAGAAGTAAGCCCTCTCCTTGCAAGGAGATTCCTATGGCACTACTAAAAAAAATCTGCATAGCAAGCCTCATGCTAATAGCTTTCAGTTATGTGTTCTTAATGATGCCCCACTCCAACAGATTTGTTAGAAGCCCTCTTTGCTTCCCTTTTATGACTATGCTGTCTTTTTCTTTTTAAATTAGCAATGCTTTGGGTTCAGCATGTAACTTGACAGGTAACTTAAAAGGAACACTTGTAAGTTCTTTTCTCAACAAGGTCAAAATTGTTCCCATTACTGTTACAATAGCTTTATTCTTTCTCTATATTTTATTTTGTATTCTTAAAATATCTGGTGGAGTTGTATTTTGCTGTTCTTGGATGAATTATAACTAGTACTAGTACTTAGTTGCATCATCAAGGGTACTGTTACCTAGATACACATTTAATCTAGGCTGGATATTTTGTTTCTCAAGTATAAGTTACACAGAACTGAAAATCATTCTTTGATGGAATAAGAAGATAGAGCACATGTGGTTACTGAAGTAGATATAGATGGAATCATTGAGTATTTAGTAACTTCATATTAGCTAAATCTAACAGCTCAGATTTTTTTCTTGAACTCATCTTCTGTTTTTCACCATTTGTAATGGAATATCAGTGACTCCATTCAGACTCCCCCTAGTCTCAGTATATTACTGAAATGAATCAACCCAGTCCACAGTTCTTTAATCTTCCTCATTTTTAATGTACAGCTAACAAATGCATATTTGGTAGGTGCTTTGAAGCATATGAACTTTAAAATGCAATAATCCATTACCGAAAGAAAAGGATTTTGTTTAATGTATCCTTGCAAATAGTGGCAGCATTCCCTCTGTATCTCTTTTCAGCACGAACATGACATCGTTGTGAAGTACAGGTGCAGAGTCCTGAAGCCACTCTATCTTTGGTTGTTACAGAAAGGCAGGCTATTAACTGAAGCCCGAGAATGGAGTCCATTTCTTTATTAACCGTTTATTAAGTCGACAAGCTAAGTAATGACTACATTTTTCTTTCTTATATGCATCAGTTTTATGCATTTAGCAGTATTATTCCTGGAACAGATGTGTCTTTTCAAAGTCATCTTTCTTTCCTAGGAACATAGGATTTCTTCTTAATTGTGTGCTTGTAAGCTGCCACTGCATTAAGCAGTGCTTGTGAACACACCACTGAGATTGCTCTGTCCTGAGAGCCAAGTGACATGAAAACCACAGAATCATCAAGATTGTGAGCAGCCAGCTCCCGCATCAAGCTCCCAATTAGCTGGTATTCTTTGGGTAAATTTATTCCGCAGCCGATGTAGTCATCTCCAGCGCTTCGGTTTCAGAAGCCTTAGAAATACCTAGGAGTTATTTGAACGTGGCAGGATGTGAACTACGACAAGATACAAAAGAAGCACCTCAGTCAATCAGCAAACTATAGAGTTTGACAGCTAAAAAAACACTGAAGGCAGTCTCAAACTCCATCCGTGTTACTGTTTTGCATCACTAAGCAGATTATACTCATCACTTTCCTTTATCAATAAAAAGGGCCATTCCCAAAGAATCAATATCTACAGAACATTAGGCAACGACTATTGCCTTTAAGATTCCCTCAATGCTAAGTATCAACAAAGAAAACTTTGCTGCTATACTTTTGAAAAGCACCAATGGAAGCCTGACACTAACTTGATAACATTTTTTTTTTCTTTTTCACATAAAGAGTATAATGAGCTCTTGGGTCACTTTCAATACATGGTTAGGTTCTTTTTCTGGAGTAAAGTTACTGCGGAGTCAAGTGACTGGAAAAGCAAGGAGAGGAAATTAAATGATTGCTCAGCAGAAGAAGTGCGGTACCGCTGTCCCGGCCAGCCTCTCCGCCCACACCAAGATCATGGAAATTCGGCGGGAGCCCAAGCGGTTCTTCAGCAGCGACCACGAACAGGCGTGATCTGGCACCCACCGGTGTCTGTCTGACAGCTGCCTGTGCTTCAGCCAGCGCTCAGAAAGTGATCCGCCGGGTTCTGCACTGCAATTTCCCTCTGAGTCATGAGGTCAAGTGAAAACTGCACTGATGTCTTTAAATAGTCTTGGCTCTGGCAAGCTAACGTGGGTGAAGATCCGGCAGTGTGCCCGTGTGTGCCTGGCAGGGAGAGGCAGAGCTCCGGTTGCTGCTGGAGGGGGAACTAAAGAGGGGACTTCAGCTGCCGCCCGGTGACATGGTAAGCTCTGTTTGCAACAGTCTGACAGAGAGCTCCTGCGCAAATGTGCTAATGACCTATAGTATCTGATGATAGCTACGGGAATTGACTTGCGTCTTTTATGAGTGGGAAATGGACTTGGAAGTCTGTTTGGAAAATCACCTGTGATATTAATAAATGATCTGGACCCTCTTTGAGCAGCTCTTAGAAAATGGCAGCTCCCTACTAAACCTGCCTATGCTCGGACCCAGTGCCCCAGCCCTCTGCTGCACTTTCCCACAGGGAATAAAGGGGGGAGGGGAAGGAATTAGGATGCAATGGCTGCAGGGGATAAGGGTTTGACTGATTTCTCCCAGTCCTGTTTTTTGTTGTTGTTGTTGTTGTTGCTGTTGTTGTTATTTTAGTTATTGTTCTTTGTTTATTGAGATCTTGGAGCTTGGCCTAGTCTACCCCATCCAGTATGTTGCCCTCACTCCAGCCCATCACTTCCATTTCTCTTGAGAGGGATCTCGACTTGCTGCACATCACAGGATCCCACGTGAGTTTCTGTCCCTTTCACCACTTTGTGGGCTCCTTGGTAGAAAGAGCAGGGCTTTCCTCCTCTCGGGTTCCCGGTGAAGGGGAGTGAAAAGAAGGTGCTAAGGAATATAAGTTTAACGGAAGTAAGCCAAGGGTATTAAGAAGTTAGACAGGTCTTGGCAGCAAAGCCAAATTCTGTCTCAAAATGGTTAGCCATATTCTACAGTCAAAAGTGCAAGACACTTGAACAGTGGGCTCGCCATTGATCTTCACTGCCACCTCTTCGTTCTAATCCTTTAGCTCTCAATACATCATAGATGTTTCAAGGGTTCTCGGCTACTGTGACAATAGGAAGACCCAATGACCCTTGTGGCAGGGACTCTAGAATTGCTTGTCCTGCTATCACATTTAACTAACAGCCGTATATGTTTATAATTAAAAGCAAATGTAATATTTTACAGCCTTTTGTCCAAAGAGCTTTTAAAAATGTCACCGAAGTCATACTTAAATGCCCATAAGTGAAAACCAAGTGGCAAATATCGCCCTCCCCTGAATGTTAGAAAAGCAATTACATTTTTTGTGTGACTTGTCTATGCCTTACCTTCTTTTTCCTGCCTTTAGACCATTTTCCCCCCTCAATTATTAGCTCATCTCTGAGAGGGCAGATCCAGTAAGGAAGGAGAAGGGAAGTTAGAAAGGATGACAAGCATTGGCTGGCATCTATAGAAAAGCTCAGGAACATGACTATGGTCAGGAGGATTGGGAAAGAAGGTTGAAACTGCAGGTTAAAATCGGGTTGTTTTTATTATCTAAAAGCCATCATGAGCCAGTCACTCAGCACCACAGGTAAACATGAGCAGCTTGGTTGTTACTCTACAGTCATGTTAGAGACAATTTCCTCCCAATTATCCCTCCCCTGCGCCACGTTGCCCCAGAACTTGAGGGGAAAGCTCTGTCTAACTTGGTCATCACCAGAAGGGCAGGGCTCCAGCTTGCCCTTTGGTCCCAAGTAAGGCTTGGTCCAGGCTGGTGCAGGATCGTGTCTTGCTGTTGTCACCTGGCCTCAGGTTGCCAATTCCAGATGTTGCCAATGCCTCATACCATACTTGGCACTTACTTAGTAAATATTTAACTTCTGAATCCCATTGAATCAGACCTGCTGACCATTGTTCCCCGGGTCGAATCCCATTGCTCCTCAGGGAAATTCAAGCAATTATTTCTCTTTGGAGAACACCAAAGTCCTGTTTCCATGTATGCTACGACCAGATTATGGGGATTATTAGGAACATATTGTGGGGGTGATTAGGAACATACAGAATTCACACCAAACCCCTGCCTAGAAATCCCTGCCTAGAATGCCATTCAGCTACAAATTAGCAAATATTAACACACACCTTGACCAACAGAACAGTAAGAGGAGAAAGCTCAGGCTAGAGAAGTACCCAGTGGGCAGCATCCGGGGGAGCTGGCTGCTGTTCCTGCCTCCCTCCATGGCCTCTCAGTTGTGCTTTTTGTCCTTCAGGTAGCTGACCAGCATCTCCAGGCCCCCCTCCACCAGCTCGGGCAGAGGCCTGGCTAACGGGTTATGGGCAATGTGCAGCCCTTTGTCCATGGGGTTCCAGGCGATCCTCGCCAGCCTGCCCAGCAGGTAGAGCTCCTCGGGAAGGGTCTGGATGTCGTTGTTGTTCAGGTTCAGCACCTCCAGGCCGGCGAGGAGGCAGAGCGAGCGCGGGAAGGAGTGGATGCTGTTGTTCTCGGCGATGAAGATCTGCAGGCTGCCCAGGCACTGGATGCTCTCGGCGATGTTCTCCAGGCGGTTGGAGCCCACGTGCAGGAAATCCAGCTCCCTCAGGGCGAACACGCAGACGGGGATGTGCACGAAGCAGTTGTTGCTGAGGTTCAGCTTCCTGAGCCCGGAGAGGTCAGCGAGGCCGGCGGGCAGCTGGGAGAGGCGATTGTGGGACAGGCTCAGGACCTCCAGGCTCCGGCAGGCGCCCAGCTCGGCCGGCAGCTCGCTCAGGCGGTTCATGTTGAGGAACAGCACCCGCAGGCCCTGCAGGAGGCAGAGCTCTGGGGGCAGGCTCTTCAGGTGGTTCCCGCACAGGTTCAGCACCACCAGCCTGCTCAGCCTGCCCACGTCGGGGGGCAGCACCCGCAGCTGGTTGTGAGACAGGTTGAGCTTCTGCACCTCGGACAGGCCCCACAGGAAGTCGGGGACGTCCGTCATCCCCTTGGTGACCAGGCTGAAGCTGATGTGGCGCATGCCCCGCTTCAGCAGGGCCCGAGGGTCCCTCCCTGAGAGCAGGGCATCATCCCACGCCGACAGCTTCTGCCTCCTCCGCAGGCACCCCGTCCTCCTGGGGCCCTTGTCCTTGGAACCGGGGTTGGACTGTCTGGCCCCCATTTGTTTTTTGCTCCCCACCCTCTCCCCACAGCCCGGTGCCCAAAGGTTGGGATGAGTCTTACCCCAGCTGCTGAAAGCCTGGCTGGCAGCGGGCGGGGAGCGCAGGCCGAGGTGAGGAAAGGCCGGCAGCGGGCAGTCAAGGGCGGAGGGAGCTCCCGGAGGGTCTGGGTCAGATGTCCTCTGAGACGCCCGCCGTGGCCCCGGGACAGGCGGTGAGGTTAGATGGTGTCTCTCGGAGCGGCGGGCTGTAATGATATACTCCGTCCCTGCGGCTGCTGCGGAACTGAACCCTGCACTCCCTCTGTTTGTGGAAGGCAGCTGTCCCTGTCACTCTGCCCGGGGTGAACCAGACTTTGGTGTGTGCACACAGGTCACAGGGAGGCTTTATGTAACTCTCTCCTCTCTCAGCTTAGCTTGGGTACCACAGCTGAGCGGGGTGATCAACAAGCCCATCTCCAAAAAAAGAAGCAAAGAGGAAAAAGGAAGCAGGCCACGCAAGCCCAGGCTCCATGGTGGCCCGACTCATCGGGGCTCCAGAGGGACACTGGACTAAATCCTGGTGACAGAGTTTGTCTCCAAAGCTAAGGATCCTCAGATGATGTACTCACTCATTTCAACTTTGGTGAGTTGTGGAAAAGGAAGGAAGGGGCCCAGACACCTGGAATCCTCCAGGCAGGAGGTCTTACAGGATGCTGGTCAGTGAGGATAGAAGAAAGGGGGTCCAGACCCCCAATCCCATATCAACTAGATTTCTCTGGGGACCTCTGTCATACAGGGGCTTCTGAGTTTTGTGGGGTGCACTTTAAGTGTCTGAACAGCCTCTCAAGTGGCTGCCTTGGTAAGGTAAGCATGGGGTGCCCACTGTTTTTGGGAAAATATAAAAACAAAATAGTATAGAGAGACCTCCCTGGGTATACACCTCTTTCTCTTTCCCTCCCCTTCTCTCCCTCTCCACCTACTCGCCTTCTCCCCATCTTGAATTTTAAAAATAAAAAGTTAACTTGTACCCTAAGTAAAGGGAGATAATAGTTGGTGTTATATGCTGAATTGTGTCTCCTCCAAATTTCAAATGTTGAAGGCCTACCCCACAGGACCTCAGAATTTAGAGATTGGGCCCTGTGAGAACACAGGGAGAAACCTGCCACCTGCAGGCCAAGGAGAGAAGTCTCAGAAGCAACCTGTCTGGTGGACACCTTGGTCTTGGGCATGTTCCCTGCAGATTCATTTTCTTTAAGCCATCCCCATCTGCGGTGCTCTGTCCTCGCAGCTGATGCAGTTGGGGAGGAGGCAGAGATGAGGCATAAGTAAATAATAAGTAAACAAACAAACAAACAAATAATGAAAATAGGCTGTGATTAAAGGGAGAAGTGATATCTGGTGGATGACCCAGGTTCTAAGAAAAGGGCTTGCCGTCTGTAACAAGGGCTGTGTTGACCAGAAAGCATGTGGCTTTTGCAGGTAGCAGCCAATGAGCACAGCCCCCCGCACAGCAGGTATGTGTCCTGGAGAGTGATGCTGTTCCTATGACCTTGGTCACAGAGTCCAATCACCAGGCCAGAAGCCGGAGCTGGGCCCTGACTGGGTGCTGCCTGTGGCATCTGCAGGCCCAGCCACTGAGCGGCCAGTGTCTGGGCAGTAGCAGCAACAAGAGGTATAAAGCAATGCAAGGTCATTTCTCACTCCTCTTGGCATTGGAAAGAGATCTGTCCACTTTCCACCGAGTAAACCCCTGGACGAAGGTGGAGAGGGGATTTTTTAAATGGATACTTACATGTTCTATTAATTGGGGGAGGGAGGTAAGAAGCTAAATTTGTGTGCTAAGTTTTTGGAGCAAACCATGCCTTATGATGTATATGACAGTAGGGTTCTGCTGTTTTATAAAAAGTTAGCTAGGCTTCTTTTTTCCCTCATGAGCAGGAGAAATTATGCTAGAATTCCTGACATGTAGGAAATAACAGGAGCTGGGATGGTTTGAACAAGAATCAAAAGCTTTCTTCTTTACGGCAATTCTTTCTTTTTCTCTTAACACATCTCTCCAATGATAACTTTTTTGAGCATTTATCAATAGAAAACATCTATTGAATGTTTACTATGTGAAAGGCATTGCACTAGGTACTTTACAATGCAGGATAGAAGTATTAAAATTATCTTTACTTTACAGATAAGGAAACAAAGATAGGATGAGATTAAGTAATTTATGTAAAATTAATTCACTTGCCCAAGTTCAGGTATCTCTCTAGTCAATGTCAGACACAGAATTCAAACCCAGTTAGTCCAGCTCCACCACCTGCTGGAACTATAAGAAGACTCTGGGGTTATCCCTGTAGAAAGATGGATTAACTATGGCTAGATTGTGTGTTTTGTTTTCAAGTTGCCGAAAGCTAGGTCTGGAGAGAACATAGTTAAATAAATGACTACATTAACTGCATACATAGAAATAACTATAGAATTAGGCATTAATCCTAATGCTTTCTGTACCCCATCACAACAGGGAAAGCAAAAGTTAAAATATCATTCCAGAAGACTTTGACATAATGGATTTAATCCCCTCCAAAAATAGTTCCGTTCTTCTCTAGTGAGGTTCTCATATATCAAAAGGACGAGCTGTGTGAATAGCTGACTTTATTTCTCTAATTTTTTGAAAGGCAGATACTGGCCGCTTAGTTAACCATGGGTTTGCAGTCAGAGCGTGGGTCACCTAGAGCACGGTCATGGACTTCGTCTCTGTCCTCATCTCTGAGTCAGGCCTTTCAGGCAGATGACTTCCCAGCGCCACTTCTCACTCTGTGAGTTGAATTCTCACTACACATGAGACCACTGCAGGGAAGTGTAAGTCACATAGCTTCTTTTCTGGTGAAAGCATGCAAATTCAAGGAAGTTTCTATTTTGCTTAATTTGATATTGTCCCTGGGGAATAAACAATAAGAGTACTGTCTTCTTCCCTCCCTCCCTTTTTTTCGTCTCCATTCCTTTTTAAATAATCTTTTTATTAAAGAGAGAGAGAGTAATAAGTAATGCTGTTGGCTTTATGATTCACTATGGAGACCACACATCTGACTTGTTCCAAAAGAGATTTTTCAAGACCCTCTGAGAGGCTTACAGTTTGGAGGAAGTCTCATTGTTGGACAAAATTTTAAAGTTCCAGGGCATGGTAAGTAATGTGGCTGTCTTTAAAACCTAAAGAAGTTATATAATAATTGAAATGCATTTAGCATACTCCATATATTTACTACATTTTTGTGTATTCCAATTGATAATTATCCCAATGTATAAAAATCGACATTTATTATTTTTTAATCCCACTTCAAATAAATCTGAAATGATGAGAATATAAAAAAATCCAAAGCTACTCCTGAACTAACACTAACGGAATATCTATTAAAAATAACTTCTTTTATTCTCATGATGGTTTTTCAGCTTAACAGGCATATCATGCCTGTTAATTCCGGGGAAAAATAAATGTGTGTTTAAATAATTTATTAAAATAACAATTTTACTGATTTAAAAAAATTTAATAGGAAAGTATGAAGAGATAATCCAGTTAACATTTTGCATATGTAAATCTATGTCTTTCTCCTATGCATACCTTCTTCAATGTATTTTTTTTTCATACACAAAATTTTTTTTCATTGTTGCACCAAACACAGCCTAATGCTGGGTTTCATAGCCACTTTGGAATCAGCAGAGAGGCTCCATTAAACCACCATGTCCTTGGGACAGCCATGGTTAAGCATCTGTAAAATGCATGCAGTGATGAAACCCAAAGTACATAACAAAATCCCCTAAAACTCAAACTCACAGTCAACAGAGCCAAATATCAACAGTACAATGATTGAAATTTCTTTTGAGAGCCAAATTTTTTAAACTTAAATTTCTTCTAACCCCCCTTCTTCGAAATAGACTCACCCAGGCCGTGGTATTTTGTGGAAGAGCCACACTCAAGAGCCCAAAGAGCCGCATGTGGCTCGCAAGCCACGGTTTGCCGACCACTGCCCTAAACCATGGTTAGTGATGCCGTATGATCCACAGTATAGTGATGGTACATGGTGATACCCCATTAAATGATAGCTTTTACATAAATGGTGGGTATTATACACAAATACCCAACACATACACATGCCCCTGGATGCATTTACTGAATATTCTCCGTGCCTTTGATTTTACTTTGTCCTTGTTCATGAACTTGACACTCTCTTCAGGGCCAATCAATACTGTATCTGTGAAGCATCTCTTATCTATCTTTCATTCACCTAACATTTGCAGAGTATTTACTTAGTGTCAAGAGCTGTTTTAGACACTGTTATATGGGCTCTCTGATTTTCATAAGACTCATGAGGTCAATATTGTTAACCTCATTTAAATATGGTGCAGCCAACCTTCAGTGGGGTTAATTGATGCTCCAATTACAAACCTCATTAGTATCAGCATTGTTATGAACACCTAGTCTTCTGTTCTAACTCCTGTTCTCTTTTAACCATGCAAATACCTGGCTTTCCTGTGCACAGATTATTTTTCTTAGTAAAGTGGCTTATTATTAATCTGATTAGAAAATGCCCTAGCCTTACAGCTCACAGTGACCTCATTGACAGGTAGCAACAGCCTGGCGGTCAATGTCATAAGCTCGGGTTGCTGTGGCTGGCCATCTTGGATTTTAGTCTGAGTGTATTACTGAAAGCGGTATGACCTTGGACAGGTTACTTAGGTTGTCTGGATTTCCATTGCCAGTGTTTTTACCTGAACTCAAAGAAGAGCTGAGATGGGCATCTGGAGAGGGAGGCAGCATGTGCAGACAGACACCTGGGTTATTCTTGAGCGAAGCTCTGTCTGTGAGCCACTGCTCCGGCACTCAGCAGTCACATAAAGCCACATATTCTGGCCTCAGCCTCAGAGAGGAGACAGGCAAGGTATGAAAAACAAGAAATACAACTGAGAGTCACTGCAGCCCAGGGTGAACAGATTGAGAGGAGTTTTCTTCTTTGTGCCCTCGGTCCCTGCACTGT